ATCGAATAGAATATTGCTTTTGACCCAAAAAAAAAAAGAATATAATATTTTCTCAAAAATAATGGTGACCTTATCTATTTTCACAAATTCTTGCTAGCTGAAGCTATCAAAATCCTTGCAACGTAATAAGCAATGTCTTCAAAAACACTACCTCTATATATGTTACGTATTAGCTATTTCTTTAAAGTAAATGTTTTCCTCTTTAGAAATTGTTGAAACAGGTTACCTTTAAAGTATTCATTCGTTACACGTGCTATAATTTTTCACGTGGATGTAAGACGAAAATGAAATGCTCTAAAATTACCATGTATACTATCAATTTCATATTCATTTAACATATCATCGTGCAGTTTTTCAAAGTACTAGATTAATTATTGTAAATTCTAAATGAGATCTATTATATTTAAGCATCGATCATTGATATGCAATAGTGATCTGGCATTGAGTAAAACGAAAACGAATTATAGATTCGATGCTATTACTTACACAACCCTTCATACGTTTAGACAATAACTGTCTCTCACTTGAACATATCTTTGGTGATTATAGTCCTGAAAAAAATAGTCTAGAACAAGATATGTTACTCTATCACTAGCCCACTTCCTAAAATAATTTCTTAATAATTACTTCTAATATTACATAAAAAAATATATTAAAAATATGTACATAACAAGATATATGTTGGAAACAATAACATATGAAGTAAGTAATTGTAGAGGAATGTTCTATTTAAAGTGATCACAGAGGTATCAAAAACATTCATAGCTTTTGACATGGGTGGCAACTATACGTGTTTAAATTTAAACATAAACAATTGTGTCTATCTAATTTAACCACAATTGTCATTTTTATTTACTTTCAATAATTAATTATCTTTAATTTTAAACAATATCTATTCCAAAAATTTGAAGACCCACCCGTCGAACCGAAACTCGCGCCAACGTGGCTTGTGCGACTTATGCTACGATACTTACTTGTGCGACTTATGCTACGATGCTTACTTGCAAAGTGCACCTAAAGCGTCAACGTGACTTTGTAGCGCGCGACCACAACAATAGACTTAGTCATACAAGCTTTCATGTGTCTTTCTTTCGTGCCAAGTAAATACATATATACGTCTCTAGATACTTATCATAAAACTTTTTTACAGCCGATGTGGGACAATGAATTTCTTTTTCAATAAAAAATACATTTTTGAGGGATGTTTTAAAATCTCATGCCAAAAAAAAAAATTGTATACATAGTTATTTTGAAACAATCCAACACTTGATTCATTGTATAATCAGTATAATTGCGACAACTCATTTTCCCTAAGTTAAGTTCTCAAGATTCTCTTGTTTTTTCATGGTAAATGATTTGAAATCTTTTACTCAAGGGTATACTTACAATATGATCTACTCCAGTCCTCCTTTTAAAACAATTTTAGTAACATAATTCTATTGTGGTTTAATTAAAAACAATAGTGATGAAATTCGAATTCGACTTATATTATTTTTAGTTGTCATACTTTTAAAACCAGACTAATGGTTAAAACGAGATAGAATATTCTAAATATAAATGGTTGATGCTTAGTTCTAATGTGGTCTTCGGACTAACATCCGTTTCAAATTCTATTAAAAATTAACGCATGTGTCATTCACGTGTGTTGCTCTTGGACAAAAGTATAAATTCACCATTCATATCTCTGTGTTGCATGTGCATCAATTTTTAACGGAATTCGAAACAAATGTTAATTCGTAGGTTACATTAAAACTAATTTATGCAATGTAAAAAAAATAATTTTTTGGGGTACAAAATAAAAATCGAAACATCTTTTGTGGTGTAAAATGCGAAAAGCCCAAAATGCAATATTAGAGGATTGATCATTTGTTCTAATGCGAACGGCCACATCATGCAAAATAGATTAATTGACCAAACTTAACTGTGTGCATATGTATTTGGGAAAAGTGTATAGTACCAAAAGTTATAATTTTTTTATGGTAAAATTGTATTTTTAAAATGATAAGTTACAACTGCGTAAGGGAAAGACCATAATCGATTATGAACTTCTCTTAAACAGTTGTAACTTCTTTCTTATGAGTTTAAAATTAATATTTAAAAGTTGTAACTTAATTTTAAAAGTTGTAATTTTTTATATCGATCTCAATCTTTCATGATTGTTCATGCCTTTTACAAATTATAACATACATTACAAAAAAGTTATAACTTAATGTCAAAAAATTATAATTTCGGTACCGTATAGCCATCTGTCTTTGTATATATGTTGAGAATAGCGGAATTGTTAGTATTTTTAGGAAGGTTATAGGAATTGTTAAGTTTAAAACTATGTAAAAGAATATTAATTCTATAAGTAGATTGTTTGTACCTTTAGTTCTCTTATTGGAGTTATATATAAAGAAGAAAAAAAAAGGAAATATTAATTTTGAAATGGAATTGTTATTATTTATTATTATAAACAACTATAAACGAGTGTTACAAGGGTCCGTTGATTTAGCAAGATAGTGTTAGAAAATGCAAGAAAGAGAAAATTTAAATTTTTTTGTGTGTTGTTTAGCTTGAAATAGAAAATAATAGAAAAAATAATTTTCTTCTATATTTAGATTTTTTCACATTTAACTAACTTTTTTTTCTTGCGAAAAACATAAGAAAAAGTAAGAAAATTGTGTTTAATGATCTAACTTCCCAATTTAACCTTATATGTTAAAAAATATTCAAGTATTTATTAATTTTAAAAAATTTTGCACAAATTAGAAAAACCGTATAATTTGATCTAGAGATCAAAGTTCGAATCAATTTTGGTCTCTAAATTAGATTAGGAGCCAATTTTTTAAAATTTTGAATAATAAAAAATATTTTTTCGGATTAGGCCGAGTTAAAATAATTAAGGATAATTTAGACAAATAAAAAAATTTTCCTACAACTTTTCTTTCTTTCAAAAAGTGAAATAAAATTATTTTAAAATTTTTTTAGAAGTTTTTCATGTTAACCAAATGCATTCATGCATGAAAATATATTTTATTTCACTTTATTTTCTTTTACTTCACTTTCTATCTCTTTTATTTTCTATAATTTTTTTCTTGCTAACCAAAAGGATCCCAAATAAATAAAGATACTGACGTGAAATAACTATCATCATGGGGTGGTTATATATTAGGGAATCCATAACCAATCAAACGTAAAGAATTTGATTTTATGAATAAATTTTGTCAAAAAAATTAACTAAATACTATTCTTATTATTAGTATTTCATCCCTAATATGTGATTATAAATGTATGAATGGTTTGACTTTGATATTGAAATATAATTTTTTAGTATTATAATTTTGTTGTTTAACCAATAAATATGATATATGATATTATTTTTTATTTTCATTATTCATGACAAAAAATTATCCAAATCAAAATTTATAATTTTAAAATTATTTTTTGATACTAGACCATATATTTTCCTCACAATTATTATCAAATTATAGATGAGTGGGACTATTATCACCCCCACAAATATCATTTTCTACCTCATTAAACTCTTAATTATAAAATTACTAAGCTCATTCTTACTATATCCACACCACTAATAATTAAGTCAATCACATTTTATACCTACTCCATTAATGACTAAATCCACCTTATGCAATATTTAACTAAAATATAAAAATTGTAAAAGAGTTATTCTTAGTTATGTCTTAATACTAACAATTAATTTTTGAATAAAATATAAAAAAATAATTATTTGAATGTTAACAAAGAAAAACGGATAAGCTTTCACTAAAATACTTTTATATTCTATCATTCCATGTGAATTTTCGTTTCTTAAAAAAAAGCAGTGCTATGTTGATCAAATTATTATCCAAATTTTATATTCTAAATCAATGTAAGTTGTTGGATTAGTAGAGTCTATTAATTCCACAAAATATTCAATGTATAAAATTTTGACACATCATTTGAGACACAAGATTTGATAAATAAATTTGTGCAGCACAACTTTATCCTTTTAAAAAACCCTAAATGTGAAAATTGATATAAATTTAAGGGTGGGTATATAATTAAGTGTGCTTAATTACTAGTGGGGGGTGAGTATAAAATGAGTGAACTTAACAATTTTATGATTTAGAGTAGAATATGTGAGAATAGAGATTCATGGGGTGGTAATAACCCCACCCATTATAGATCATAGTTCAAAGATTTAAAAATTTGTATTTTATATCTTAAAAAACTAAATTTTTTATATTTCATCTTCATGTATTAAAAGTGTTGTTATGTGATATTTCTGTTAACTTTTGTGTCTTATTTCGTCAAAAATTACCTTATTAACGTTGACAGAATAAGCAACGAAAGCTAACAAAATATCATATTGCAACACTTTTATTACATTATAGGTGAAATGTGAGAAATATAATTTTAAGGGTTAGTAGTAGTTTTAGTCCCTAAAATATGTATTTTTTATTAATTTAGTTTTCATTATATTAATTATGTCTCTAAAATATTTAATTTGTATCATTTTATTTTTTACATATACGAACCACTAAGTTTTTGATGGAATGATCACGTATTGGCCATATAATATCGTATAAAAAAAATGACACGTGGTCACTTATTTAAAAAAACTTACAGATTATTTAATTAAAGACCAAAGTGATACTTATTGAATACTTTAGAGGTAAAATTGATATAATGATAACTAAACTGACAAAAAATATATATTTTAGGGATAAAAATACTATTAATCCTAATTTTAAAGAAACAAAATAAAAATTGTTAAATCTTTTAAAAATATACTTTAGGGATAAAAATACTATTAATCCTAATTTTTAAGGTACAAAATGAAAATTGTTAAATCTTTTAAGAGTAGAAGGTAATTATTGTAAGCCGGCACTCAGCAGAATTAAAGCCTTCGTGAACTCACTCTCAACTAGTTTTCACTTATTTAAACCTTATTACAAACTTCGCCTTCTCAGATCTGTCTCTACGGTTTGAGGGAAAAAAGACGACAACTCGTCGCCATGGCCATGGCGATTAGGGTTTTTCTTCTTCTTATCCTCTTCATGTCATCTTCAATCCCTGGTTTCTCTCTGTTCGAAGATCAAGTCGGCCTCATGGACTGGTCTATCTCTCTCTCTCTCTCCCTCTCCTCTCCCTCTCCCTCTCTCGCTCCACAGACACACACATATAATACGTTTATTATTTTTAGTACGATTTTATTAACAGTTCAGTTGTTCATACTTGTGTTCAATTCGATAGTGAGCTATGTGATTGAGGTTTGTAGTAAATTGATTGCATTATTTTTCATCACAGGCATCAACAATATATAGGAAAAGTGAAGCACGCAGTGTTCCACACTCAGAAGGCGGGTAGAAAGCGAGTTGTAGTCTCAACGGAAGAGAACGTCGTGGCGTCGCTTGATCTCCGGCGTGGGGAGATTTGTGAGTATAGGAATATATGCTTTCTGGTGTTGAAAGATCATGATTTTTTGATTTGGGAATTGATGTGTCTGGTCTGGTGGTTTTGTGTTGCAGTTTGGAGGCATGTTTTGGGGAGCAACGATGTCATCGATGAAATCGATATCGCGCTTGGAAAATGTACTTACGCCTCCACTTTGTTATTTAATTGACTATGCCTAATTATCATCGCTGTCCATGTCTTAGATATTCTTGGCCTTTGGCAGAATATTTTTATTTGCAAGTGAAAGCTAATAGTAACTGCAGTGATTATTAGACTTTCTGGGTGGTTTCGTTGAGCTCTCAAAACTTGATTTACAATTCCATTTAGCATCTATGCAGATACGTTTTGTTTTTTAAGATTTTCCCAACTTTTTTGTTGTTTATGATTCTGTTTTTTTGGATTTAACAAGGGAGTCTGCATTGTTCAAATTAACTCTAAAATATAGAGGTACTATGATTCATATGCGTATTTACTATACTGCCACTCAACTTTTAGGAGCAATACCAAAAAGAAAATGTGGAGCTTTCTCTCTAAGTTCTTGTTATTATTTAATTGTTTAGACAAGTTTATTATGCACACACCTCTCTCTCATGATATTTGTACACTGTAATCATCTTAGTCAATTTTTTTCATTGATGCCGTCAATTTATCGATATTCATCTGTCATTTCGGTTAATAAACCTGTGTGAAGAAAAAGGCTAATTCCTTGGGTCTTTGCTATTTCCTTATGAAAGCAATTTGCTCATTTGTAGATTAAATATATTTCGATGAACAAATAATTTTGACTGCTTTTTCCCTGCGAGTGAATCATCTGTCACATCCATAAACAATGAAAGTCAATGCATTATACTTTGTTATGCTGGCTACTTATGAAATGCTGGAAACTTCTTCGATTTTCAATTTATTAAGTTCCTTCTTCCCCCTTAAGAACCCTCTATCCCCTTCCTTTCTCTTTCTTTAAAGAACTTATGAACAAATTTAAAATGAATTTATCCCATTAGTTAGAAAATTAGCCTTTCCATTTTTCTTTCAGCCGGGATTACTTTACAGATCTTGCATGTATAAAAGAAATAATTGAAACCAAACAAAAAAGTTGGATATCAGAGCTAACCTTTCTACATGCTGGAAATGTTTCTTGAAATTACCTGGTATATTATATGTTTCAACTCCATTACCTTACAATGGCTTGTTTTTCACAGCTTCCACATAATCAACAAATAGGAATGAAGGGAAAAAACTAAATAGAATGTTGTAGTGGTATAAATTGTATGCTTGTTGAATCTAGAAGAATTGGATTGCCATTCATGATAATTAGGATCATTTTCTTGTGTTTGTAAGCAAGCTCTTCTTATTATATTCAACTGTATTGTTTTGGCTTTCAACCATTACTCATAAAAGGATTCCAGCATTATCAACGATGATGGTGGTTTAAGTTCAACTCACATGGTTGATTAACTCATGTAAAATTTCGTTTTGTCCAGATGTCATTGCCTTGTCATCAGAGGGAAGTATTTTAAGAGCTTGGAACCTTCCTGATGGGCAGATGATATGGGAGTCCTTTCTTCCAGGCTCAAAGCCATCAAAGTCTTTATTATCTGTTCCAGTAAGTTATTAATGTTCTATTTTATCTGAAACCTTTTTTTAAATGAATATCTTTTTGTTGTTTTATCTACAGATTATTCCCTCCCTCCCTGCTTCCTCTCGTCTCTCTCCCTCTCTAACTCAACACATTTTTCTTGACCACTATTCGTGCAAAATCTTATAATTCTTGAATCACATTACTATAGCCATTAAATCCTTGTTACAACATATGTCAACTGTCAAGTCAATTGCAAAGTCATTACTTGCAGTTCCACTTAGTTTAGGCAGCATTTTCTTTTGAATTGGGTGTACATGCACTTTTCCTGTTGCTTTAGTTCAGTCTGTTTGGGATTTCCCAGCAGCTTCTTTAACACTGGTCAGAGGCAGTTTTTTACATTCAGTAACTTCGTCACAGAATGCTTTCAACATCATCTTTTAAGAAAATGAAATTTCTTTTGGCGTTTCTGAGCAGGCAAGTGTGAAGGTTGAGAAGGACAATGTTATCCTTGTTTATGGTGGTGGCTGTCTTCATGCCATTTCAAGTATAGATGGCGAGATTCTTTGGAAGAAGGAATTGACCACTGAAGGGTTTGACAAATGCTGAAATGAATATGCCAATTTTGTTTTTTTCATCTTAAAATTGCCTGATCATTGATTGATTTAGCATGTCTTGTGTTGGCAGCATGGATGCTCAACTGTTATTTCGTCCTCATGGAAGTGATGTGATACATGCTGTAGGACTTCACGGTTTGACCCAGTTTGGTGCATATCTGTTGAATGCCAAGAATGGTGAGTTGCTTAAGCATGATAGTACAGCATTTCCTGGTGGCTTTTCTGGAGAGATATCATTTGTTACGAGTGATACATTTGTGGCACTGGATGCAACTAGATCAACGTTGGTAACAATAAGCATCAGAGGTGGAAAAATCAGCTTTCAGCAGACACATGTTTCAGATCTTGTTCAGGATTTTTCTGGGATGGCAGTGATATTACCTACTAAGCTTACAGGAATATTTGCTGTAAGAATGAATAGATTGATAGTATTTATTAAAGTGACGGATGATGGCAGGTTGGAAGTAGTGGACAAAAAAGATCATGTTGCAGCTGTTAGCGATGCTTTGCCAGTTTCAGAAGGCCAACAAGTTTTTGGGCTTATTCAGAATGAAGGTGGTAAGATTCACCTCACTGCGAAGATTTGTAATGACATGCGTGCCAATTTGCTCGAGGAAAGTATTGAAATGGACCATCATCAGAGGGGTCTTGTGCATAAGGTTTTTATAAACAACTACATCCGAACTGACAGGTCTCATGGATTTAGGGCGTTGATTGTAATGGAAGATCATTCACTGTTGTTGCTACAACAAGGAGAGATTGTCTGGAATAGGGAGGATGGCCTTGCTTCCATTATAGATGTATCAACATCAGAATTACCTGTGGAAAAGGATGGTGTATCAGTTGCAAAAGTAGAGCACAATCTTTTTGAATGGCTTAAGGTACGGGGCTCTTTGAAATGCCTTATCAACAAGTTGACCCTGGACTCTGACATTAAATGCTTATACTACCAGATACTCTAATAATTGCATCCTAAACTCACCTGGGATTTTTATTAATGACTGATCTTCCATCTAAATTTTTCTTGTCTTTTCGTTCTTGTTTAGACTTGGGTCTGGGCTTTCACAATGAAATAATTTCTGGATGATGTTTTGTATGAGCAGAGTTTTTGTGTTCGGGGAGGATGAGCTGGCGGTGGGTTCGAATGGCATTTCACCCTTTACCACACCTCGTGGTCTGTAACATTTATAAGATGCTGTCATGGATACCTTCCATAACCTCTAAATCTTTTTCCTCTAAATCTCGTCATTGCACGGAACCATAATGAAAACGTGAGAAGCTTGAGTGCTTTTCAACATGTTACTCTGTTTTGAAATTAGGGTCTTTTGGATGTAAATGTTCTTACTCTCTTTCTTCTTAGTCTCTTCTCGCCAAGAAAATGGTAGTTATGTGAAAGAATGTGGTTTTATGTTTTTCCAATCTATCCTATGATATCTTTGGCACTGTGTTCTCTTCTTCACAATGAGAATGGATCTGAGTGATTGGTTTTTCTGTTATTTCGTATTGTTGACATGATATTCTTTTGCTGGAAGGGACATTTGCTAAAGCTTAAAGGAACTCTAATGCTTGCAAACCCTGATGACTTAGCAGCCATACAGAGAATTAGATTAAAAAGCTCCGAAAAAAGCAAGATGACCCGAGACCACAATGGGTTTCGCAAGCTGCTCATAGTACTTACTCGGGCAGGGAAACTTTTTGCACTGCATACAGGAGATGGACGAGTTGTGTGGTCTCTCCTCCTGCATTCTCTTCGTAAATCAGCAGCTTGTGAAGATCCAACTCCACTTAATGTATATCAGTGGCAGGTTCCCCATCATCATGCGTTGGATGAGAATCCATCCGTTCTAGTACTTGGCAAATGTGGATATAGTCCAGATGCCCTTGGAGTTCTCTCTATTGTTGACACTTATGCGGGAAAGGAACTTAATTATTTAGGTCCCCTTCATTCCATTGCACAAGTTATTCCACTGCCTTTTACGGATTCAACAGAACAGCGTCTTCATCTACTAATAGATGTCAACAAACGTGCCCACTTGTACCCCAGAACCCCCGAGGCTAAAGATATCTTCCTACGCGAGCTTGCCAACGTATATTGGTACTCAGTTGAAGCTGATAATGACATTTTAAGGGGTCATGCTGTGAAAAGCAATTGCATTCTTGAGGTAGCTGATGACTATTGTTTCGACACCAGGGATTTGTGGTCAATTGTATTCCCCTCTGATTCTGAAAAGATTATTGCAACTGTGACACGAAAACTGAATGAGGTACATTTGTGTTGGTTCCAAGATATCCTTCAACATTTTGTTTTCTCACCTTTTATTTTGTACTTCATTGTCGTTTCTTATTTATTTTCCTTCTGTCCAGTCTCCATATATTAAACTATTTTATGATTTTTGAAGTTTTGGACTTCTATTTGCTTGTCAGTATCACTTTATTCCTAGTTGCATGGAAACTGAGATTTGTTTCTAGTGGGAGTTGCTTTTCTAGATTGAAATGGAGCTTGACCTACTCTTCCAAGCATTAGTATAATGCATCTATGATGTATGAGCCCGACTTAATGAAAATGCATCTAGAGATTCTTATCCCATTTAATTACTTTCGGTTCTTATAATGAAAATTTGTACCCCATTCTTCTCCTGTGGCAATAATCTTGGCGTTTACCCCTGTCTATCCATGAGCATAGTGCTGTGGAACTCGTTGAAATGCAAATTGTTTTACGTGCTTTTGTGTGCTCTCTGGCAGGGGGTATCTATGTGAGAACTAGCGATGGCTCCGTAAGATGTGTGAACCCATCTCACCTCATCTGTTATCGATTTTATGGAAAACGACCCACCAAATCCTCATCCCATTCTATTTGGATACTAAGAAAACTATTCATTAATAGATTAAACAATTTTATTAAAATTTCAAATAAGTAGTTACATGAGTAATAATGGTGTGACTTGTTTGATGAATCCATGCTTTTTGTTGAACTTGTCCATAAAAATGGAGCCACAACAATTGTATCTCTGCAAAATTTTTGATCGACCACCAACTAAATAAACTCCCCGTAAATTCCTGAACTCCAGAATTGTTCACAGACCCAAATAAATCCGTAACAAAATCAGTGAGAGATAGTACTGAATTTGGCGGTATTACGAACTTGTGGGGCTCTGGAACATATTAGAAAAAAACTTCATGAAATGGGTAAAAACCATGATATGGGTATTTCCCGTTAGTGCTGAGAGGGTAAGAAGAGTTTCCATTGATTAAGAGGAAACCACCCCATTCGTTGCAAACTGCGTGTAGATTAAAAGGAAACTACCACAGTTGGAGCAAACTCTGTTAGTATGGTGATGATGAGTAGGATTCAATTGTCAGTCATAACGTTGAAACACCGATTAAATTTAATCCTTGGTGGTGTGAAGAGTGAATGTTGATTAATTAAATAAGTCAAGATTATGAGAAATAAGAAACTGGAGGGGGAATGCTTGGTAGGCCCCTCCCTATTGGCATTATTTACTATGCCTTTGGAATTAGTGTCATTGTTTTCATGTGTTGCATTATTGTGGACTTCTCTACTAAAAGTAAAGAGTTTAGTGTTACACCAAACTGTAAACCTGGAAGATTAACATTTCGAGCTCAATGACTTTGCAATAAAAAGTTATTATGCTTATTTGGACAACTTGTCTTGCTCAGGTATGTCAGAGCTAATGATAGTTTTGCTGCTATATTTGCTGACCATAATTCTATTTTTCATTTACTTGTGTCTTTGTTCAAAGGTGGTTCATACTCAAGCGAAGGTAATCACAGAGCAAGATGTGATGTATAAGTATATATCGAAAAATCTGCTTTTCGTGGCTACTGTTGCACCAAAAGCCACTGGTGCAATTGGTTCAGTCACCCCAGAGGAGTCGTGGCTTGTTGTTTATCTTATTGATACTGTAACTGGCCGTATACTGCACCGTGTGACTCATCACGGTTCACAGGGTCCTGTGCATGCTGTAAGTATGTTTTTTCATAGTCACATTCTTTTATTTTCTTGGCTGAACTCGTTTCTATTATGGAACTATTTCTTTTTGAAGGTTTTCAGTGAGAACTGGGTTGTCTACCACTACTTTAATTCAAGATCACACAGATATGAGATGTCTGTCATTGAGATTTATGATCAATCTCGGGCGGTATATCCTTGAACTTCATTCTTCTGCATTTTTCTTGTGTATTCATCATGATCAATATGCCATTTATAAATTGAATCCCATCTACAGGATAACAAAGATGTGTGGAAGCTTGTTCTTGGAAAGCACAATCTTACTTCACCCGTTTCTTCCTATTCTCGTCCTGAGGTCATAACAAAATCACAATCTTACTTCTTCACCCATTCTGTTAAAACAATAGCAGTGACATCAACTGCGAAGGGCATTACTTCCAAACACCTTCTTATCGGCACAATTGGTGATCAGGTTAGTGGTGACCTTTAATGAATCCAAATTTCGGACTAGTTGGGGCCTCATTTTGTTTGTCTGCTTTTCTCTATCATTTGATGTTTGCCTTGGGTATGTTTCTTGAATTGATTGTTATGATAACAATATTAATTGTAAAAAATGAGTATTATTATCATTGTTGTTATTCAAAGACATTCATTTTTTACACGGTTTCTTGTTTTACTGGTCAAGTTTTATGTCTAGACATTCTGAGTGTAGGTTAACTTTATATAGGTCTTGGCACTTGATAAGCGTTTTCTAGATCCTCGGCGAACAGTCAACCCCTCACAAGCCGAGAAAGAGGAAGGAATGATACCTCTTACTGATTCTTTACCAATCATTCCTCAGGTGAATTGTCTTCTTTTCTTCTTTGTCTTTCTTAAATTGTTGCTATTACTTGTTTATTTTTTCCTACAAAGGAAAGGCTATATAAAGATTTTATGGTTAATCTTTTGCAGACTTGTATACTGCAAGTCTTTGATGACAAAAATAAGTTCAATTCACCTCAGAGTTACTTGCCACTAAGTATTGGACATGCGTGGGGCGTTCTTAATCAGGAAGGAATGAGTTTTGTGCTGGATCTGGCTTAGATTGGTTGTTTGAAAATGCTCAACTCAACCTAAACCTACCTAATACTAGAGTAGAACCAAAACCGACCATTAATCTGTTTATCTTTCCTTAATGCTCACATTTTATGGCAGTTTAAGGTTACTAATTGGATTAGTGTTATATCGGTGCATGTGGAATTGTAAGTCTCCTGTGGTGTAGCCAAATAAGGTAACCCTTTAGCTGTTTCCTCAACTAGATGGAGGCTCTATTTTAGCTTTTGCTAGAAGTAGATGTAAGTTAGATAAAACTTGAGATTAGGTTTTGAAGGGATCTCCATGTTCTTGGTGACATAGTATTCGATTTAGGCTGTCAGATGGACTTGGTTTCAGTCTAAATATCTTATATGTTAGATTATATCAACATCATAGTCATTTTCGGTGCAAAGGATGGTTTTTAGCTAGCTTCCAATAAAACACAACTGCAAAGGTATGATTGGATTTTTATCATAGGATGTGCCTTTGATCCAAGTATTATGAGTTGTTAGTTCCTAGGTTCAACCTAGCTTCATTTGTTATTTGATTTGTTGTAGATTTGGTAGGATCTATAAGTCTTATGTATATGTGATAGGTCGCCTTAGTGGTTTTGCCTGTCCAAGGGGTCGAGGTTAAACTTTACTCGGGACTCAACTTGGGTAAAAGTTAGCTTGCTAAGGGATGAAGTTTTGAATAAAAATCCATGTATTTGTGGAATATTTAGATATGACATGACTTTAATATGACACGATTTGAAGTGACATGACTCAACTTGATGGACACCTCTCTAATGACTTGTAATAGTACGTATTTGAGAACTTGAAACTGTAAAAGTAAATTACAACATCTAGCTACAGATAAAAAAAAGTACACCTAGCTCAAGGATCCATATGTTAGCGTCGTTTATTGATTTGCTGCACATGTTTCACTGGTTATCATGGTTAATCTACTGGATATCTGAGACACCGAGGTATGCATATTGTCATTATGAATTTGGGCAGAATTATTTAGGAATATTTTGACATCATTCATGGATTTGCTTCACAATTTTGTAAAGCTGTGCTCCATTCTTGGTTGTCTGGCAAACTAAACTACAAAAATGCGAGGATGAAAAAGTTGGCAGTACAGTTTTATTGAATTGACAAATCTATGCTTTTCTCAGCTCCTCCTCTGTGCACAGAGAATAAAAATGATCTAAAGGTCATTGTTGTGAGATATAAATAATTGGAACTAATTGGCTGAACTGAATTCTGCTTGAGGGGATATTAGTGTTCACGTTATATATGGAAAAGTATGGTCAATAGATTGTAACTGAAAATTTGGATGACTAAATTGAAATTTAAGTTTGACAACCATGTGAGGGAAATTTCTGGAAAAGCTATCAAACCCTTGTTCATATTTATATATTTTCGTCTTCTATTGATGCTCTAATCCTAGGAATAACTCTATCATTTATCCATTCTGTCCAAGTTTTTATATTGATTGTGATTCATGATGACACGAAATTCATTGTTTAACAGCTGCCCCCATCCCCACTCTGAGTACGGAACTATCTTATGGCCAGGGAGGTCATCCTTAACTTTTCAAAATTACACATTGTACCCCTAACATTATTTTTTTGTTTTATTTTATACGGCTCTCTTAAATTTATAAAAATATATTTTAAAGTTTTAAATTATGATCTTGATTTTTTTTTTTAATCTATTGACTATTGGTTGAACACACTCAACCATTAAGGCATTAACCATTAGTCGCGTGGATAACATTTATCCAAAATTTAACGATTTGTGCAAAGTCAAATTTGACGTTATGTACAAACTATCACAAATTTGAACGATTAATAGTGTTGTGTTTAAATTGATATCCACCACACCTTACATGTGTAGGGCGTAAAAGTTGTATAGAATTTATATTTGATAGATTTCAATTTTTTTCATAAGAAACAACTTTTTATTAGTAATCACAATGAAAAATCACAATCATGAAGTTGGACAAGAGATCCAACCCAAATGGACAACAAGCAAGTGGCCAAAACAAAAAATAAAAATACACCACAAGCATTTCTAAGACCAATTGTTAGCATCGGCAAGAAGCTATGCAGTTTGAAATGATACAAAAAATAGGGGACATTTTCAAATTCCTTTGTCACCGTGGCCCAAAAAGAAGCTAAAAATAAGCCCTTTCCCATAGATCTTCCATCACTTCCATTTTATTTTCTCATATACTTGTATTCCTCTCCATCCATATCACCCAAACAATTACAAATAAAGCGCAATGCCATAGTGTCATACATTTTCTACCGCCACCTAATCCCTCAAAATCCACGCAAAAATATTGATGAAATAGAACTGGGGACCACCCAACAAATCCCAAACAACTCAAATAGTTTATTCCACAGCAACAATGCAATTGGACAAATGAAGGAATAAATGATCCACGTTTTCACTATTATCTCTACACATAACACACCATTGTGGGTTCAAACAAGTCGAAGACCTTTGTCTATGAAACTTGACATGAACAATTACTCATGAGAATAACCCCGATGAGGTAGTGACCCAACACCTTTTATCAACAATATAGCAAGATTCAACGTGATTGAATTAAGCAAGGTAAGAAGCGACACCAACTTCGAAGACTCCCTATCATTTAAATTTCTACGGAACCCAAAATTCCAAGATATTAGTATGGAATGAGATTTTACCAAAAAAACATTGTGACCATGATAACGAGAAAGATGAAATATTCGAGGGAATAAACTTGAAAATGACAACTCCCCAACCCAAAACTTCTCTCAAAATCTAACTCTCACCCTATTATCTACAATAACTTAACTTTTCGGGGGAAGCAAAGTAATCCCTCAAAAATGTATTTTTAAGGACTTCGATAGTTTTTCCTATCAACCCTATTAGCATCTCACTCATTAGTCCGCAAGCCATACTTGCTTTTAATAATGGCCTGCGATATTGTATTATTGTATTATGCTCCAAGGGAAATCTCCAAGGCCATTGTCCAACCAATGTCACGTTTCTAGCCATCAAGGTTCCTGCTAAGAGACCTCCCTTTGATTGGCGTATGCACCATCTCATACCTAACCAAATGATTCTTTTTATCCTCGTCCATTCCTTCCTACAAAAAATCTCTTATCCTACTCTCAATCATGTTTGCCAGGCATCTTAAAAAGAGACAAAGTAAATAGGAATACTTGCCAATACTAATCGAACAAGAGTTAATCTTCCCCCTTCAAAATAAAGGCTTTCTTCAATCCATCTAGCATTTTTCCAACCTTCTGAATGATTGTATCACAAAAAGAAATGGACAAAGGATTACCACCCAAAGGAAGACCTAAATACTTAAGAGGTCAACCTCCCACAGACCACCCCAAAGCCAACCTTGATATTTTATCTTGACTCAAATTTATTTCTACAATCACACTTTTCTACATATTAACTTTAAGCCCAAAATCACCTCTAATACATCCACAATCTTCTTCAAATTCAAAATTTTCTTTTCATCCCCCGAAGAAAAGAAAATGTATCATCTACAAATTGCAAATGCGACACCAATAACCTATACCTCCTAATCACAAAACCCTCCACCAAATGATGCTCCTATGCCCTCCCCACAAGCTTGCTTAACCCATCCACCACAAGTTTGAACATAAAAAGGGACAAAGGATCTCCCTCCTTAATTGTCAGGGAAAAAAATCTTTATCTTCTTGGCGCTGGTCATACTTTGGTGCGTCCACAGAAGAGAAAATCGCAATGCATCTTGCTTAGCAGTTGTAGCTTGGAGTGAGAGTGTAGCGGGGTAGGCTAAGGAGAGTGGTTGCTAGAGAGGCCCCTCGGAGCTTTAAACTTACCCTTAGGTTTTCCATTAAAAATAATCGAGAAGTTCATTGATTGCAAATACCCTTGAATCCACCTTCTTCTTCCTTGCCCAAATCTATTAGCTCCAATCAACATGGTCATACTCATAAGCCTTTTCAAAATCAATCTTAAGCACTATTCCTTCCACCCCTCTAGCCCTCCTTCGCCACCTCATTAGCTACAAGGACCTTCCAAGATTTGTCTTCCTTTCACAAAGGCCCCTTGATACCCAAAAATAGTCTACTCAAACATTCCCTAATCCTTAAAGGTAACACATTTGCAATGATCTTATACAAACTAGAGACCAAGCTAATAGGCCTAAAATCCTTTAATTTCAATGAACTTTCTTATTTTGGGATAAACAAGTAACTGTAGCATTAGTGACCACATTAATCACCCCTTATGGAAAAACTCAACAAACACTTTCAAGAAATCATTTTTAACCACATCTCAACATTCTTGAATCAAAGCCACGATGAATTCATCCGGCCCCAGGAGCTTTCTCCTTACTACACTAAAACACCACATTCTTAAATTCTTCCATTTCAAATGGTCTTTCCATCCACCTCATTTTATTTTCCTTAGTAGGACACCGATCAAGACCCTCCAAAGAAGGCCTAGACCACTCCTGAGCTGTGTACTACTTTGAAAAGAAATTAATAATTTCCCTCTCTACGTAATGAATATATTTGGTCTGCAAGTAATGCCCTAGGAGGAAAAGCATGCCTGGTTGCACACTCGCACACACACTAATCGTATCACTTACACATCTAACGTGTACTCCGTCATAGTTTGTCATAATGATAATTTTTTTTTTGCAGTGTGAACTGTAATAATTTTTTGTGGGATCATGATTATCAGGCTGGCCTTCTATATTTTAGTGGCCAATGATTTAGAGATGTCTATGTAGCTATCCCAATATCATATTTGGACCAGTTGCAGATTATTATTATATTTTCATTTTTAATTCTGTGTTACACATCAGAAAACCACAGATTTTAACATTCTTTGGGAAGTTAGATTACATAAGTGGTTCTTCAATTGAAATAGAGCAATGCTATTGAGAGCTAATTTACTGATATAATTTATTGACTTAATTCACTGTGACATTTGGATTCACTGTAGACCCTATCAAATATTGGAACGTGGTATTGATCCCATGATTCTTATGAAGTCGCGTCATTATGTTAGCAAATTAAATCAGTTTTTTAGGTTTAAATAGTATTTTTCATTGAAATAACCATATCCAAATGAGCCTAGTACAACTCTGGTTGAGGGGTGAGGATTAGATTCCATCTTTCGTTCTCCACTTAAACTCAACAAAATCCAATGAGCCTAGTCTAGCTATAGCACTGGTGACGTGAGGTATGCTTGGCTCGTGCTCTGAATAGAATCCGGCTAACTTCCTATGCATGTACTCTGTTGGCCTTTGTTAGGAAATTGAATCTTGAGGTTTTCATCTATTTAGTATTAAGCTTTGTGCAAGCGTCACTGACTTTTGTAATTGGTTAGTATGTTATATTAGATTCATTCCATCGGTTGTTTATGCAGTCCTATGTGACACATGCTCTTAAAGTGGAAGGCCTTAGGGGCATAGAAACAGTACCTGCAAGGCTGGAGTCAACCACCCTTGTATTTGCATATGGAGTGGATCTCTTTTTTACTCAGCTTGCACCTTCAAGGACCTATGATTCACTTACTGAGGATTTCAGCTATGCTTTACTTCTCATTACAATTGTTGCATTGGTTGTGGCAATCTTTGTAACGTGGATTTTGTCCGAGAGGAAAGAACTGCAGGAGAAGTGGAGATGAGTCAGACAGACCTGTCTGCAAGGCCATCTCTGTGCTTTCCATAGTGTTTCTCCCACCAAGGTTACTCTATATTTCCCTTTTGTTTAGGAGGTTTGCTCCTAGTTTGTACTTTTAGTTAGCTTTCTCGCATGTTTCTCATCACTTTCTCACGCGGTCTCAAAGTTTTCAATGCCTAATTTTGTAAATTAAGCACGTGCTAGAGAAAATTTTACCAAACATTTTTGACGCTGTTAATCAATGGTCATATTGTGCAATAACAATTACTGGATTGGCGCAATGAACTATTTCTTCCACGTAATATGAAGTCGTCATGGCATTCTGACATCATAAGGTGAGTGAGTTATTTTAGTCATTTGAAAAACTGCAATACTACTACTGAATGATTAGAAGTTTTCTCATTTCATTGTGTTTAATTCAGTCAATGGAGTAGTATTTGAATCTCCCATTAACCTGGGTGATAAAATATTCTTAGATGTATTATTAGATTACGATGGTATGTCTAGTGATTAAATCAAACAGTTACAAATAATATTATGTTTATTAGAAAATACGGTCTTTGATAGAATATAGTGGAGTATCGTGATTTTTGTTGCGAGATAGAGTTGTTCTGTCAATGGGGGATAGAGTTGTGGTTATTTAGACAACTTACTGTTCTTCTTGATTAAGAAGCATCTGTTCAATTTAAGAAAAGATTAAAACAATATGGGGGAGGTTCAAGTGCAGAACTAGCCCATTCACTTTCATGTTGGGTGGGTGCAAAGCGTTAGAATTTTTTGTTGGGTTAAACTTGGGTACCGAATTATATCAAGTATCATCATCGTATTTTAGAGAATAAAACACAATTTTTAAATATATATATATATATATATATATATATATATATTATAATTGTCAATATGACATCGAAGCACGAATTAATGGTGTGGTCAAAATTATAAACTCAAACCTTTGGGCATTCCCACCACTGGCCCAGCAAGAAAGGCCACCATCAAACACTTGCATGGAAAATTAGAAAAAGACACGTGCCGTCTGAAACGCTGTAAGTATCATCATCCCTACCACAGACCAGGAGATTAGCTCGCGATGACCACTGTTACGGTAGCTCGTGATGACTAATAGGGTATCTGTAAAAATATTTAGGATAAATTATATTTAGACCGGCTAGGTTTGTCACTAATACACGTAGATCCTCTCAAGCATGAAAATAAATATCATCATTCCCTAAAATTTGATATGCTGTAACATAACATAAAATCGCTTGACGTTAAAGTTTGTTTGAATCATCGGCTAATCTTAATGCTATGAAAATATTTTCATCATAAAATCCATAAACTACCATGAATAAGTATCACTAAATTACTAAAATCCAAGAAAACCTAAAATTTGTGCATTTCCTCAAATACCCCATGAATTCTATTAATTTATTGAAAAATACCCCATTCTTCAATCTTGCTGCAGCCCGTACCTCACCAGTTAAACCTCTCCAAACTACAATACCCAAACTGACCACTCCCTCTGCTACCCATCGATTATAGCCAAGGAATCAAACCCGTTGACAACAGTCCAATGAACCTCTAACACCCACCACTCCCATATCATTGATCCCCTCCCTCCCACACAACCATAGAATCACCACAACCCCACCTCAGCCACTGAAACACCACTACCACAACCACGCACCAAATCACCAAACCTACAACATCTGGTAAACATGAGCAGCAACCTCAACCCACCAATCAAAAACACAACATCAACCCACCAAATTGGCATCACCATCACTATTATATACAACTAGCAATGATTTAAACATTCAAATTTAAGTCGATAATTACTGCCTTCAATTTTAGTTCAGTAAAGGGGTGGGTTTCATCGGGTGTTGGCAGCGAGTTAGGGTTCGGGGTAGGCACTTGGGGAGCATTGGGGGAGGGGGGGGGGTAGAGGGATGGGGAAGGTGGGTTGCATCACTATTGGAGTTGATAATGTGGTAAGAGACAGGTGGGATGGGTTTGGTGGTCGACCAGAGTTGGGACGGTTGCTTTGAGGAAGATGAAGTGTGGAGGAAGTAGTGCGGTTATTTGTAGGCTTGAGATTGTCTGGATATGGGTTGGAGCAATTCTGTAGTTGGAATAAGTTTGTTTGAGTTATTGGTAAGGGTTTATTTGTTTTTTTAATATTTGAACAATACTATTTATATTTAAAAATTAAATTTAATAATTATAATCATTGAATTTACTATAAAATTTAATATTTATTAAAATTAAATTTATTTTTTAGATTTAATTTTTAAATTCACGTTTGTATTTTTTGTTTCTGCCATTTATGAACCATTGATGAGACAGTAATACCATGCTGGTCAAAAACAGCAGCGGGGTGTTGGTGTGCATTACTAACGCTCTCCATCTCTTTCGTGCACAGATACACGCTTGGCGAGATTTACAAAACTACCCCAGTGCCGTCAAAAGTCTTATTCTCTCCCCCCCCCCCCCCTCTCTCTCTCTCAATCTGAGGTTTTTACTTACCTTATATGATGTAGAGTGTAGTCACTACTACAAAGCTTGGTACTTCTATTAAATTCTCTCTGCGGCGGTGTGTGTAACCACCATGAAAACACATCACCCAAAGCTCAAAACAACAACACCACGACCACTGTTCTCTTGTGGTTTCTTTCGCCACTGCACTCAAACTGCACTTAGTCCCACCACTCCCAACCCCCAAACACTCCCTCTCTCAGGTTCTGAACCACCACCACCACCACCACCACCACTTCCTCCTCCACCTTCCTTTGACCCACCACCCCGACAACCACCACACCCCGATTCAGAGTCATCTTCATCGTCAAACACGACCTCCCAAAGCTTCACCCAGTGGAGATTTCCACTCCCAAACTCACCCATATCCTCATATCTACAACCCGAATCTAACAAACCAGAACATTGCCCTTCAAACCCACCACCTGACACCACCCAAAAATCTGACCCACCACCACCGGTTTTAAATGTGAACCTCCAAGAACAATTCCACATTGCGGAGCTCCAACTGAGCACTGGGTCCGATTTGGAACGTGTCAGGGCGCTCCACATGTTGGAGAGGTCACTTGTGCCAAACCCACGCGCCGCCGCTGACGGCCAAGACAACGTGTCTTGTCCACCTGTCGTGATGAAAGGAGTGATTGGGTACTTGAAGGACATGGCGGGGGCGAAACCGGCAAGTAAAATTTTGTTGGCTCTTTGTCTGGTGGAGAGCAACCGACACGTGGCGGTGGAAGCTGGGGCGGTCGGGGCGGTGGTGGAATCGCTTGCGGACTTGGAGGGTCCTGCGGCAGAGAGAGCTCTGGCGTCGTTGGAACTGCTGTGCACGGTGGCGGAGGGGGCTGCAGAGGTTAGGACTCACGCGCTGGCTGTGCCTATGATGGTACAGGTCATGGGGAGGATGGAGGGGAGAGGGAAAGAGTATGCACTGAGTGTGTTGGCGGTGATTTTTGGTGGGTCCGGCGATGGTGTGGCGGTGGCTCCTCCGGAGGCGATGGCGCGTGCTGTTGTCCTAGCAATGCAGGGGAATTGTAGTGCTAGAGGGAGGAGAAAAGGGGCCCAGCTTCTGAAGACTCTGCAAGAGATTGGACGGTTGGATTTGACTCAAGTTGGAGAATGAGTGGTCCTGATGGTGAGTCTCACTAAGCTTTGATTCAGTCAAAGTGAATATCAGTAGGGCAAGAAACCATAACAATTTTACTTTTGATACATTGCTTTGTCGTAATAACAACTACTTCTACTCGAGCTTTATTCTATGACACACGAGACTTCTGCAAATTATTGATCTAAATTGTAATCGAACTACTCTTCTAAGGAAAAAAACAATTAGAGTTAATCAATAGCAAAAACAACTTCATGTCATAAGCATGAGAGAGAGAGAGAGAGAGAGAGAGAGAGAGAGAGAAAGAGATATGAAAAACGAGTATTTTTGCAAGTACATATATACACATATTGAATCTAAGTAACTCTTTGTGGTTAAACTATAAAAAATTTATCCCTGAAGAATACTTTAGTTTCGACGTGAATGATTTGTTTTTGATCGAATTTAAAAGGAAATTAATTGATGTGTGCGTAAAATTGGTCCGAACAATTCTAACATTTAAAATAAGAATAATAATAATAATGCGGCAGTACTTTCTAAGGTGAGGATCATCCAGTTTTTAAGGTTATCCGGAACTTAGATTCAATAGAGTTGATCCTACTTGGAGGAGTAGATAATTGAGTAAAGTTATACAGTTGTTAAGAAATGTCGACAAGGCTATTATTGTGACACTAGTTATTAAATTTAATGATGAGTTAATAATAATATTAGACTAATTTGATTCAATCTCACTCTAATACCCAATCAATCGTGGGCCTTGGAGAAACTCAAGCTTCTCTTGAACCATGATTCTGGCTATTTCTTCCATCCCGTACTGCAAGAATCAGAAATAATTGGACTATTTTCATGTCGCTTTGCGAGAGAGAGATTCAGTTTGACTGTCATGTAAATTTAGGTCAGGGAGGCATGTGGGGGAACTGAGCACTAGAGGAGTGGCAAAGTTGTGGCCTGTGGGTCGGAGTCGGATTCCGGTGAACTAAGTTGGATTTCATGTGAGATTCACGTGTGGTGAGGTCCAACACCACTATTTTTTATTTTATATATCCAATAAAAATGTGATACATGTAAAGTTGTTATTTTATTTTATTATAAATAAATTAAATCAAGATGAATAATTACAAAATATTTTTAATATTATATGAAATATTTTTTTTTTGGAATGCCGTGAACATATACATCATGTTGTTTTGTGAAGAGTTTGCCAGACACATCAAGAAAAAAATGTTCTCTTTGTGCAAAAACAGTGTCAGGTTTTGGTCAGAGGAAAGTCAAAAGTAATAGATATTGGGGATTGAAGCACCTTTCATGATTGACGGGGTCTATATGTATTTTAAGTCTCGGGTATCCTTGCTTCTATGATTATTAGTCTCACCTTAAAAAATTATTCAAATTTGATTTATTTAAAAAATGAGTCGAATTTGAATGAATTAAAAATAAGTCAAATTCAAATATTTATACATAAACGAGTCAAGCCTGTCGAATTTGAGCCGAGTTTATAGAACTTGTTTTCTAAACGAGCCTAAAAACTTATTTAAGTTTGGACTCGTTTAGACAATGAATCGAACTTGAACGAGCCGAACTCAAGCCAAGCTCGGGTAGTTCAGTTTGATTAACAGTCCTACTTGCTTCGTCTGATGAATTTTTTTTATCCAACATTATTACTAAAAGGGAGAGGTAATGAAATTCATGTTAGGCTTGAAAAAATTTTGAAGACTCATAAAAATTAAATGTTAACACAACAATTAGGGCACTAATTTGATCCTATATTCTCAAGGGTTACTTTTAAAAATTTTAAATAAATAAATTGACATAAAAAATGAATTATTTACGTGAAAATGAATTAAATGACCATAATATAGGTAATATTTTATGTTGAAATAAAAAAGTTGACGGGGCCGGTTCAAATTAGGCCCAACTTAGATGCCTAGTCCAAAATTGCAGGCCAGACAAGCTTATCACAGGATGGAGGAAGCTAGAACAAGTTAATTGTGCCATCTCGAGAGAGTCAGGTTTGCCATATCATAATGAGAGATTGAGTTCACAATTGACATGCGAGAAGATCTTATTGGAACGCACATATCACCACCTCAACAGAATTGCCTTGCCTGCTATGAGAAGGGCGTCACCTCTACCGGACTACCTCACCTAATACGAGAAAGACATCTTAATAGGTTAGGAAGCGCCTATAAATTGTTTTGACACAACGCACGATCTCTATACGAGATAAAACCAAAGATATGAAATAGCATATAAATGCTCATGTCTTTAAATCTCTTTGTACAAAGTGTATTATTATTTCCCTTAAAGTTCGTATTTCTTTTCGCTATTTTTTAGTGATATGAAGTTTTATGTATATTATAGACTGATATGAAATTTTATGTATTTTATTGATCCGACTTGTACTTTGTGCTAAATATTTTGTGATTGATTGATACATATACAAAGTGTGCTTGAGGCATAATTTGTGAAATGTGATTGTAGTATTGCGATGTGTGATTGTTCTGTATGAATATGAATTTATGTGACACACCTAAAATCGAGGGCCTTTGTCAACCCGTCAACCAACTGTTAACCCGCAGAAACACCCGTGAATGCCATATAACTTGTCATCACGACACAATATTCTCTTTACTGGGATCACAATAACTCAAAGTTTGGGCAGATTTTCCCTTGTACTGGGCATCCCAAACACGTATCCTGTATACATTTAATCACAAGACCTGTCCGAGGTCCAATATATCACAATTTATACTCTATTATTGTCCATTTACGTCATTTGAATAAAATGACACAAACCCCGAAAACATGACAAAACATTCTTAAAAATTTAGATTTTTGAAAAACCAACTGATAGGTTTGTCATCGTTCTACTAGTAGATTTTGTCCACTGAAAAAGTTTTACCGGTAGGTTTTACATCGTCTACCGATAGGTTTTGCCTACTGAAAAAGTTCTACCAATAGGTTTACCATCATTCTACTGGTAGGGTTTGCCTATTTTCGCCCATTTTTATACTTTTTCAATTCCATTTCATTCCAACTCACTCTATATCAACTCAACATATGTATAATGAAGTTTTTTAAGTAAAATATGGTCCATACAACTTATATTACAATCATTTTCATAGATTTACATGCCCAAAATTAAATTTCGTAAATGTTTTATAAAATGTGGTTTAAAAGCCATAAGTCGATTTTTTTTCATCCTTGAGGGCCCGAATGAGAGCCGTCCATTAGTGTGTAACTCGTACCTGAAATATTTTTCCATAAAGGATGAGTCACACTTAATAGAGCATCTCCTAAAGAGACTACTCTCTAACCTAGATGCATATGAAATATTCACATGCACAATTTTACATGCAAAAAACCTTCCAATCAAGGATATGCAATTCAATCATATGAATAACCATGTCATGCCATGAAATGAGATGAGACTCACTCATGCAACTCAACCTGAGCCTTTACAGGCTCCCACAACCCATATGTAATGTCATGAGTATAAAATCGAGCATTTCAAGTAATTGCCATTGATGTCATACATCTAATGACTTTTTAAAAATAAACTATATGTCTTTGTTGGGTATTCGGATTTTGGAATCTCACTGTCAGTTCTGTACACCGTTACATTTTTTTGGATTTGTACCGACAAAAGTGTATAAACTAGTAATCTGGTCTTGCACCCGAAGAGAGTATCTAGCTCTTTTTACTATACCAGACACAAGTTTTTTATGCAACCGTGCGACTCTGTTAAACATTGGTTCAACAATACCGAGCCCATTTATCAACCGTCAACAGTGATGTTTGATTCAAAATCATGCATACACACCCACACCCATGTCTAATGCCCATGAATGTGATGCCTTCGTACATATGCAATGTATTGAACAATTGCAATATCAATATCATTTCAATATTTAATGAATGTCATATAAATTATTTCGACCACATTTCAACATATTCTATGGCTAATTATATCTAAAACATATAATTTTTTATAAATCATCACAATGCCAATATATTATAAGCATATACCAACATTTATATTCAACAACATTTTTCTCAAGCATATTATACATATTTTATGCAATAACACACTTAACTTCACATAAATATTTAATCAAACACCTTCAAAGCACCAAATCACGTAATTACATAAAATGTGCAATTTCATCCCATAACTCAAGAAATCACATTAAGTAATTTCTACATACCCAATTCAAGATATAATTATTCTACCCATTTCTATTACTCATTTTATAAATTTATGAGAATAGACAAGTGTTAAATACATCTAACCACCTACCAATTCTATATAATCACTCTAGGTTGAAAATAAACTTAGGAAGAAAACCTTACCTCTTGAAGCGTAAAACAATAATAGGAAACTTTAATAACCCAAAATCACACCTAAAACCCTTGATTTTTTCAAGCCCGTTTTGGGAACTTCACTCAAATTCATGCTTTTTGGTATAGTTGCGTAACCCTCGACGAGGATAACAACTTTTGTTCTTGGCTTGAGTCGATTTGAGCGACAAAACTCTATAGATCGTAGAGAGAAGTGGAGAAACCCTAACTTTTCCTCTCTCTTCTTCCCTCTCTCTTTCCCGACGTGAAGACCAGATGAAGAATGTGGAGAAAAATCAGATTTTCTCTCTTATTTATACCCCTTTAAATGTTTGGTTATCATTTCGCCACACGTTCTCTTTTTTCAGGTGCGATTTTGATCCGAATCGATTAAATTTCATTCCGGTTTAAGTTCGAAATATTTTTATATAAAATTTTTTAAAATTATTTTTTACTTTTCAAAATCTAAGTCTCGAGTTCATTTTTGAGGTCATCCGACACCCGGCCGTCTCGTAAAACCAAAAAAATTTGATTGTCTTAGAATTCGACAAAAATTAACAAGGTAACTAGATTTCGTAAGATGAATCCAACGATGATGTCCGTTTTGTCATCCGAATTCTAGAAAAATCTAGATTTTCAACCTGTACCGTATTGATAATTTACCGTTTTGTTTTTTTTTCATAAAAATTCAAATTTATCCGAATTTTACAATTTATATGTCCAAGTGTTACTTGTCATGTCACCAAGGTAAACCAAGTATGATGCTATGCTTGAAAGGAGTTGAATTATGTGATATGTCGAATTTGATTCTTGATTTCGTTGTTCATAATTACTTATCGATTGAGTTATTTGGTGCAACAACTTAAAAAATGCATACCCGAGCGTAAATTGTCGAAAAGTAATAATAGAGTTAGGAATTGACAAAATTGATAAAAAAAATATATACTCTAAGGGCCAAAATACTATTAATCATACATTTTATATGGATTGTTTGGTAAATGTGCAATGTTCGCACATCAAATTAGCTCAAATTTTAATGCAAAAATCTAACAAATTTGGATTTTAACTAAAGCAGAAACTACAAAACCATATTAGTATTTGCTTAAATGGAGTTAAAGGGGTGTCCCATGAAAGGGCACACCCCCAAGCAAATCCACATTCTGTCAAGGGTCCACAAGTTAATCCGTTTAGATGGTAGATCGTTCATAAAACCCAAATTTGATCACAACCCGGCACATTTACAAGTTGCTTTGCGAGTTTTATGATACTTGAAATCATCTCTGGAACAAGGTATTCTATTATCATCACTTAGCTCACAACAACTTCGAGTTTATTGTGATTCGGATTGGGCTTATTTGTCCCATGACCCGTCGGTCCATATTTGAGTATTGTGTTTTCCTCGGAGAGAGTCCTATTTCCTGAAAAACTAAAAAACAAACAATTGTGTCACTCTCATTTGTCGAGGTTAAATATTGTTTAATGGCTTCTGCTAGTTGTAAAGTGACTTGGCTGACCTATCTTCTGGCTGATTTATGAGCACTGCATTTACATCCAGTTCTATCTTTTATATTGTGACAACCAAGCTACTTTGCACGTTGCGTCCAATCCGGTGTACTATATGAATGAACAAAACATATCAAGCAAAACTGTCATCTTGTAGAAGAAAAGATTCAATCTGAACAACTTAAACTGATCTATATTCCTTCAAATCAACAAATTGCGGTTATGTTGACCAAACTCCTTGGTGGCAATCCTTTTACCCGCTTATGTCGCAACTTGGGCATTTACAACATCAATGATGTGACAACCCGTATGAAATTTAATCGCTAATACGTTAAGTAGAACATTAAGTATGATTTTATGTGATCAAGAGCATAATATCAAAATTACTTTAAAAAATTTTAAATAAATAAATTCCTTTCATGAAAACGAGTTACATGGCTATAATATTTTGTCTTATTTTGTGTTGGAACAAAAATGTCATATTAAATATCTAAAGTATTTCAATTATATAATATATGTAAAAGTGTGTGTCACATACACTGTGAAGTTTCATGTCTGTATTGGAATCCAGTGATGTCCATCATATATACTTGCTTTATGTGGATGGTTGATTGAAATTGAGCCACTATGGTTGATGCTTGCTTTTGGTTTGTTTCTAGAGAATGCGGATTACTCAGTGGAAGGGTTAGTTCGAGTAGTAATGACTGAAGGTGGTTCAAATACTACAATTCTGGAGAGTGACTTAAGCAGGACAGAACTTATACCATTATTTTTTTGGACTTGTCAAAGAGAATAATGTGAATTATAAATATTATTATATATTTTTTCTATTTCTAGGATGATTGTTAATTTACAATCATCCTATATTTTCCGACAATTTGGTAAATGCTGGGAGCTTTCCGAACGCCATTTTAGACATCGTTCGAAACAAACGCCGGTATTTGATTTTCCCGACAAATGTTTTGTTTTTGTTCAACCGCCAGTTTTTCCATAATTTCTTGTAGTAAGCTACACTAGAACATGTGTATGTTCATTAGAAAGTTTCTTAATTATTTTTTAGATCATGCAGTAGAAGACAACGAGTCTGCTTGAAGCAATTAAGCACACAAAATCTTTTCATATTTTTCAAAGATAAGAATTGACAATATGATTAAGATATATACTTTTCTTATAGTAATAGACTTTCAATTAATATAGCATTAACGTTTCCATTTCTCATAATTGTCAAATTTGGTAAGTATTGATAATTAATTTTAGATTTTTTTATACTAGTAACTGTTGGATAATGAGCTAACGGTCCATATGAAAAATACCCACGAGAAATTGTGGTGCATAGTTTTTATGATTGTATTATATATGTATATATATATACACACATACACATATTTATATGTAATTGTGTTTCGCAAGGCAATTGGCAAAAATGAAGAGTGTGCTATGTGCACCAAAATTTACACTAAATGACTTGCAGCCGTTGGATCAATGAGTCTCATCACCGATCCAATGACTGCAGTTGAGTTGGTGCAAATTTTGGTGCATATAAAATATAAGTGTTTAAATTTTCGATTAGTCGTAATTTTTTATCTTATCTGACCCTGTTCAACCTTATTGAACATCTATAAATATAAACTAAAAACCCTAATTCCCTAATCATATGGTTTAAATTTAAAATAATTGTTATTATATTTGTGCAGAAATTATGATAGATTGATGTTTATGTTTTATTATATTTTATTGTAATTGTTTTAGATTTTACTATTATTGGTTTATTGTGTTTTTAAATTGGTGCATGTTATTTAGTTGAATTGTTAAAATAATCAAAAATTAATAACTACAAAAATGTTCACTCAACTTCTTACCCGACTTACTATCCGATTAATTTGGTCGGAAGTTGAGTAAGAATATCACACTTGATTAGATAGAGTAGACCAAGAAAAAAATTTTCGACAAACTATCGAATAGAAAGACAAAAAAATCATATATTTTACCTGTAGTGTAGGGCTACATTTTTTTAAAATGTCATGCTTAACTGTGCTTAAAATACACTTCGTATAAATAACTTAAGCAGCGTGATAATATAGCAGTCTTACTGACATATTAAACATCAAATCTTCTACACAAAATTCAAAAACTAGCATCTACAATCACTCTTTTTAATATCTTGATCATTAAAGGAGTCTTTATGTCCAATTCAAGTAACTCTTATCACTTTCTCTTTCTTCCCTTCAAAGCATCACCCTCTATACCCACCCAAATTTTCATCACCATAGAAGAAAAAAACCGCTCAATGGCCAACCAGCGGTGGCTCTTTCATGGTCTAATCCTAACCATATGGAGCTCAACCTTTCCGACCATCCACGCCATGCCACCAATGCCCCCGGTCCGGTGCAATGACACCGGTTGCATCCTCTACAACTCCTATGGTGTATGGGGCGACCGGAAAGATTGTCATGTTCCTAGCATCATATCTCCAACAACAGAAGAAGAACTTCGCCTAGCAGTGGCCAATGCAAATAAGAACAAGCTTAAGGTAAAAGTGGTGTCCAAATTTTCACATACCATACCAAAGTTAGCTTGTCCTGGGACTGGGACACAGTCTGGAAATTCTATCCTTATAAGTACAGAGAAATATGACTCCACCATCGACATCCACGCAGCCAGACTGGCCGTCACGGTGGATGCCGGAGTTGGTCTCCGGGACCTCATCGATAAAGTGGAGGAAGCAGGATTGAGTTTGGTGGCTTCACCATATTGGGAAGGTGTTAGTGTTGGTGGAATGATAAGCACTGGGGCACATGGGAGCTCATGGTGGGATAAAGGTGGGGCAGTTCATGATCATGTGGTTGGACTCAGCCTTGTGGTTCCTGCCAGGGAATTTGAAGGGTATGCCAAAATCATCACTTTAAATGCTCAGGACCCACTGTTCAATGCAGCAAAAGTTTCACTTGGAATGTTGGGTGTCATCTCTAAGGTTAGTATAGATGTTTATTTTATCTTTTGTTTAAATTTGGGACAAGTCACAACCTTCTGAATATTAATCCAGCATCAACTGAGAATCCTGGTTGACATCAATGTTAGGATGTTGCAAAGTTTTGATATAAGGTAGTTGGATATAGACAAAACCTATTAAATTCAACTAGTCATATATTTGACATGGAAATCAAAGTAAGTATGAATGGGGTTAAACGTTTCGGTATTGTCCAACAGTAGTGCATCATGAAAGGGTATCAAACGATATATTGCAATTTGCTGACGATCTATCAAAAAGTTCGAGATATCTCCAAGTCAACAACTAGTTGAGCAAGACTCACTGGTTATACCGACTATGTTGAGTAAGACTCATTGGTCAAAGAACAAAGTGTAATGTTAGTGGGATTTAAAAAAAATAATCTAATTTGTTAATATAAATGTGTCAAGTGATGAAGTCTTATTGGAACAAATTATATCAATTTTTTAGGTTTCAATAGCATTACTTCATAACAAATGTCGTTGTTTCGAATATGACTCGCCCGATAATTTGAACCATAGAGATCACAAGCTTCCAATTTAAACCATAGAGATCACAAGCTTCCAAAAACTAATGGACTACTTCAATTTCAAGCCTTTTTTGTAACTTAATTAATATATACATAAACAAAGTACTGATCTTTGGAAATCTGAGAGATTTTATGAACAATAGGTGACACTCTCACTGGAGCGAGGATTCAAAAGGAGCATAACCTATAATTTCACAGATGATGACCATATTGAAGATGACTTCATGGACCATGCAAAGAAACATGAATTTGGTGATATTCAATGGTATCCATCAAAACATACAGCTGTGTACAGGTATGATGATAGGGTTCCATTAAACACAACTGGGGATGGGGTAAATGACTTCCTAGGCTTCCAATCCAATTCTATTCTGGTGTCCACATCAGTTAGAGCAGCAGGTATGTTTCTCTTTCCATCAGTTCAAATCTCAGTTCAAGCTGTAGTACACTTAGTTATCGTAGTAAGGCACCACTGTCTTCTAATATGCAACAATATCTTTGAAAAGTTTATAGGAAAAGAAATAAAAGTAAAAACTCTAGTAATAGTGCCTCAAGTATGCATTTTGTATGCATGTCACTTTTGTACTTATTAATTTAATTTTTTTATTCTACTTTCCAAAATTTTCAGTTTGTCACTGTTGTGATCAATACATTGATAAAGTAGGCACAAAACCTTTTTTTTTTATTCTTTTCTGATACGTAGTAAACAATCACTTTAGTCTAATATAAAACGATGGTTCAAGTTAACTAATGGGGGGTGGTGTCATGCGTCTCATGTGATTACATGGTTGTGGTCACTTTGTTCCCTTAAGTTTGCAATCTAGGTCACTCAAATCTCGTTACTTTATAATTTTTATATACTTTGTGTGCCTGATATGCAAATAACCACCTCCATTACCCAACTTGAACTATCGTTTTCTATTGGAACAAAGTAATTCAAACTAAAGACTTGATAGAGAGTAAAGTGCACAATAGGAATAATGGGGAACAATGTGGTACAAAGTAGATACCCGAGGGACCATTATTGTATTCTGTCAGAGAAAAAATACCAATGACCTCAATTTTTGTATTTTTGTGTATGATTGTTAATGTGGTTACACAGAGAAAGCATTTGAGAATGAGAGATATGTAGATGGAAAATGCACACTAGCAGCTTCATTCTTGGGGTACAAGAAGCTAATAGCAAACGGATTAAAGAACAACCTAATCTTCACTGGCTATCCAGTTGTGGGTCATCAGGGAAAAATGCAAACTTCTGGGTCTTGTTTATATTCACCAGCAATAAGCATAGGCAGCACATGTGCTTGGGATCCAAGAATCAAAGGACTCTTCTTCTATGAATCAACAGCAATATTTACAGCCACAAAATTTGGCGATTTTATACGCGAGGTGAAAAAACTACGTGACTTGAAGCCAGAGAATTTCTGTGGGGTGGACATATATAATGGTTTTCTAATACGTTTCATTAAGGCGTCCGGGGCATATTTAGGTCAATCCTCAGACTCTATAGTGGTGGATTTCAATTATTATCGAGCTGATGAGGCCTCGACTCCAAGACTCAACCAAGACGTATGGGAAGAAGTCGAGCAAATGGCATTTTTCAAGCATGGAGCAAAGCCACATTGGGCTAAGAATAGGAACTTGGCATTTTTGAATGTGCAGAAGAAGTACTCAAATTTTAACAAGTTTCTTGGGGCAAAGAAGCAATTGGATCCCCAAAATATTTTCTCTGGTGAATGGTCTGATGCAATACTTTTGGGAAAGGAAGCGGAAAAAGGTGATGGGTGTGCCTTGGAGGGACAATGCATATGCTCAGAGGACAGACATTGCAGCCCAAGCAAAGGGTATTTTTGTCAACCAGGTCTTGTTTATAAAGAAGCTCGAGTATGTAGGTACTCCACTTCTACCACGAGCAGATAGTAAACTGATGGTGGTGTGAAAAATAGATTTCAGCGAATTACACTCTTGACTTCTTCAAATGTATTCATGTATCACATTGTCTCAAATTGTTTCAATTACACACGTCTGTTCTAATTTACATGGAAAGTTGTGTTATTTTAATATCCAAATTACGTGATTTTGTACCATTATCTGGTTGTTTTTGATTCCATACGAAGTGATCTTGTTTTATTTTACATTAAAATTTAATGACAAATGGATATTTTTTACTTAAAATATAATGGACGTCAATGTTACAAACCAACCAATCTACCTTTTTATGGAAAAAAAAAGCAGCCAAAACTGGAGGAAAATATTCCCGCCAAATGCTACCTTTTATGGAAGAAGAGAGCAATATTATGGATCCAAAAAAGTGAGACCTAACAAATTGTTTTTTATTTTTTTATTTTTTTTTTTTTACAACTATTCAAATGAAGAGTGCGTCTAATTTTTTTTATTAATAAATAATAATAATAATTTTTTTTAATCTAAAATACAAAAAAAAACGACTAGAAACATACATACAACCACATATGTTATAGGAATAAATTTATTTTTTGTGATAAAATTCATCATATCTTCAATTTTTATTTTAACTAAAAAAAATTGTGTATTCAAAAACAATGTCATAAATTCATCAAAAAATACCATTTGTCCCCCCAAATTTTACAAATCATGCGACAGCAACCTCTAGCCTAATCAAAAGAAAAGTCCCAGCCTTATAGATGGTTAAGGAAAGCAGTACTGAACACCAAAGTACCAAACTCAATCCCAATGCTATCTCCGGGGAGTTTTCAAGCCAATCTGTATGTCTCTTTCCTTTAAAGCCTTGAAGTTCAAATTGTACTTTTAAGTGAAGCAAGTATAATTTTTAGTCCAGCATCAGAGTCAGGGTCAGCCCTGGTGCGAACCCAAGGGATTGGAAACCAACCGTAAATATATCCTTTAGTAATAATTCTATGAAAAAATTCAACTTATGCATACAAAAAAAAACAAATTTATTTCATTACACTATATAAAATATAGTCCGCCAATAATATGATTGATGTCATAATAACATAGAGGTTGACCACATACACATAAATTTGATAGAAAAAAAGTAACTAACGCATCATCACTTAAATCTAAAAAATTGAAAAGTTCAAAATCGAAAATAAGTAATGAATTTTCTAAAATTTCAATTTGGGTTTAGTTATGAATCATTATATTAAATAATGTCTAGTGTCGGTTCAACAACGACGGAATGAGTTAGGAGATTAATGTATCAAAAAATTGGATTTTAGAAACGTAATCATGACCCATATATCTTCAGAAGCTACCATGAATGCATGTTTGGCATAACATTTGCAGATCGAGAAACAGAAAAAGGGAAATAAAGAGCCAAAAAGAGAAGAAAAGGGTAGGGCAATATGCTTTAAGAGTGTGCCACTCTTGCAAGTTGCAACCATAGTGTGTGTTTTACAGAACAGTGTGCCGTTTACTTTCATATTTGATTTTGGCCAAACTTTTATTCATTTTTATAGGTCATGTAGATAAAGTTTTTTTTAACCCAAATGATCAATTTTTTTGTTTGAAAAAAAAAAAGACAAGATATTATGTAGGACTGTTCATCTGAGCCGGCGGCGAAGAAATATTATATTTCATCTTCCGAGCCGATACGTTACAAAAGACCAATTTCTTAGCTGATCCTACCCGATCGATGGTAATATTTTGGCCGAAATCCATCCTAAAAAATCGGCTCGAAATTATAATAATATAATATAATAATATGTAAACCACTACAGTAAACCAATAACATTAAAAAAAAATAATAAATCCGATAATATGTTTTCTAAAAGTTTAAAAAATCATACATAAACAAATATATTTATTTAAAATATATATATAAATATACATGCGGCTCGGGTAGGAATGTGGAATTTTTATGGATAATCCGGATTCCTACTTGATCATTTGTGGTATATTGCAATTTATTCAATAAGCTAGCCAAAAATTTGCGAAATCTGAATAATCAGAACATATAGGGTTAGAATAGTTTGAAACCTAACCCAATGCAACTATTTAAACTAGTGGACTTCCCAAAGAGTAATCATATTTGGACTTAAAAATCTTACCTAATTTGTTAACATATTGATGTATCTTCAGTAAAATTATTGGATCAACACTAAATTCTATGTTTGATGGAGCCCACAGTCAATCCAAAGGTCATAGTGAATTAAGTCAATAAATTATGTCTCAATAATATTACTCATGATAGTTGTGATTATAATTTACTTCCTCCGTTCCTAAATATCTGTCGTTTAAGGTTTTTGTACTGGAATTAAAGAAATTATTAAATAGCTCTAATATAAGTAAAAAATAATTGCACAAGACTAAAATACCTTTATTCACTACGTATTAAGAAGGAAAGAAATATGAAAAACACTTAGCCTCTACAAAATCTAATACACTAAAAAGTTAAGGGTAAATTTGGAAGAAAAAAATATTAATTATACTTTGGTTTCATTAAACGACAGATACTATGGAATAAAAAAAATTGTGTAAAACGACAGATATTTAAGAATGAAGGGAGTATTTATTAACTATATTGGTGTCGAGACATGTCTTAGTTTGGGTAAATGCATATAATTTAACCAAATCTATAAAAAAAAGATTGAAAGGGAAAAATGTGAAAGTTAATAATTTTTAGACTTTAGTTGCTCGCATTTATCAAATAATTTGATTCAATTCGGCGTTTAAATTTCAACTAATATCAAACAGATTTCATATTAAAAGATTTATGATTCAACACTTTCAAATTCGGTATTCAATGCTTAATTTTTAATTTTATTAAACATCGTCTTAATAGTCAAATATGTGTTCTCTGTTCCATAAATCCAGATTCTCAACTTAAAAGGATTTATTATATAAAGAGAAATGTTATTTAGATTTTTCTCGATATCAAATTTTATCATTGAATGGGATGTACCATCAATCCATCAACATTAATGAACTAAGTCGATAAACCAAGTCTTAATAGCGCTCGTGATACCAATCGACATCAACATTTATCATTCTGTCGAGTATGAGATGGGACGTAGCATAGATTGCAGTCTCTTCATGGTCGAGATAAACTATAGCTGGATTAAAATATCTTAGGAATTTTATATGGTAATAGTGGGTAGTGCAAAGTCATCGAATACTCATAAGTGGGTGGTGATGCCAAAAACGGAACAAATGATCATTGGGTCAGTGTCTTGATAGAGTGGGTGGTGAATTTAGACGTGTGTATAAACTTTTGGGTACCTCCCCCCCCCCCCCCCACCCAACAAAAAAAAATAAAAAGCAGTACAGGGTATAGCATATCAGTTGATAAACTTTCACAGGGACCTCCAGGTTACAAGGACCTGATGCTACATAAAGCTATTTTCATGTTCTTTTTCCTTCTCATTCCTTGTTGAGGATAAGCATACATAAAGAAACTGTAAAAAACAGCAACAGATATATCACTGAAAACCATAACAGCACCTCTGAAATTAAGGTTAATGATGAAAATTTTACGACATCTTATAGACTGTGACACTAAAATACAGGCATCATATCCAAAATATGTACATTGGAGCTTCGAAATTTAATGACCAAAAAAAAAACTTTGAAGTTTATTTCTGCAAGATCCAAAATACAGACTATGACACTATACTGATCACCCACACGATCATAGCTCAATCTGCACAATGAAGAGCTCACTCAGGACCCATATTCAAGCAGCCATGGTTCTTGAATTTTTGATTTTGTACACAGAATCTAACCACCTTTCTAACCTGAACATCCATACAGTTTATAAGATTCTTTTTGTGGTATGAGTACTGAGATCCAGAAAACTTTACCTGCTAAAAATAAAACAAACAAAACTCCGGCTGGGAATTCAACAAAAAGTCTTCCATGATGTGCTTTCAGGGAAACAAGGTCATGCAATCATAAAAATTAGAGGATCATAGAGGTTCTGAAGCACTATGGGTATCGGCGTTTGGGAACTCTATGTGCATGCTCTTTCTCAGCTTTGAGTTTGGTAAATCTCTGTCGCTTTCGTCCATCCACATTGACTGAGCTAGACCTATCTCTGGAATGTTTCTTCTTTTCAAACTTGAGATCTTCACCGCAAATCATGTACACATTTCCTGCTTCTGGTATGCTAAAATCTGCCGGGTTTCTGTTAAAACTGCAGATGTCGTATTTGGAAATGTTTTTCATAGGCCAAAAGCTTCCAGGCAAACTACAGGCCCCTAACTCACAGCATTTGGTTGAACTTTGGAGTGCATGACATTTCAAGGGAAGCACTGTACAATTTGAATCACCTATGATTCCTTTCTGCTTATCCTGCACAGAAATATAATCACGAATTGCTTGCAGAACACCACTTGCAGAGACAGATTGTGGTGCTTTATGGCTTGTTTTTTCTTTGGGAGAAGATGATCTGTTTTCTTGCTCTTGAGATCTAGTTGAAATTTTACCTGCAATAACAGCAGGAATCTTAAAATTTCCATAGTATTGAGACAGGCAGCAAAAGGGTTAATAACAGGATTAGCAGATAGAAGTTCAGAGATATCTCAAAAAGGTAATTTTTACCGTCTAGGACAGATGACGGGTGCCCTGAGCTCGCTCTTGCGTCAAATGCCCCAGGCCCTAGCCCGGTGAACTCCCTAGAAGGATGATATGGAAAGCTAGATTTCTCAAGGAAATTCTGCTTTCCATTCATTAAGAATTTTGGGTGATAATCACAGGGAGCGAGAGGTTTCTCAAAGAACTTCTTTGGATCCATCTTGAAAGGTGTACCATCCATGAGGCTGAGCAATTGCATCGCTGTTATGGTGTCATTAGAATAGGGTTCTAGTGATAACGTTGCATTTGGGTTACGTTCCTCTCTCCTTTGTTTGGGGAAAAATGAATACTCAGCAGACGCCTGTTTTAAGGATTCAAAATCATAATTCTCATTCTCCTTTTCCAGGTTAGAGGCATCTGGATCCACAGAGTTCAAATCAAGATCCCTGATCACCTTCCCTTGTTTCAGTTGAAATGGGGATTGTGCATGCGTTTCCATGTTGCTTGACGGAGTTGCATTTTTCTGAGAAGCATTGAATCCGAAAGGCATTTGATTTGGGGCCATGGGGGACCATATATGTTCAGCTTTGTTATTATGTCGTGACCCAATATGGCTTGTCTTATTTGTCTCCAAGATCTGCTTAATGGCGGGCGAGGTCCTGTGTGCCATCTTATCACCATACCATTCACGTGCAGATAGTTGGACACCCCTGGATAGTTTCTGTCCAATCTGTGGAAATGAATTGATCATCGTGAAAGCTGAATTTCTCTCCAGTTGGCCCATGTTGAGATGGCTTGCGTTACCATGAGAGAAGTTAACAAGATTTCTTTTGGTGGCTCCATAATTCTCAGCCATAGGAATTATGTCATTGCTCCCATTGCCAGACGGAAATCTTGTCACCCAGGGAAAATCCTTCGGTGACGATCTTTCTACCCTCTTTCCATGTATATCTGCAAACCCCATCATCTCAGCATTCCTCATGTTATGGGGTCTCTCAGATAGGCCGTGATTTGTTTCAGTTTGACAAAGACCCCTCTCATACTGATTCCTTGCCATAAGCTCAACAATTTCCATAGGGATGTCATCTGAAGTTCCTTGTTCCAATACTTTATCAGCTCCCTGGTCACTATGTTTCCTAGGAACTTCAGAGTGTCCGTGAACTTCAAGGGTTTTCTGATTGTCCCGGTGGCCAGAGAAATCCTGGAAAAGAATATCATAAGTTTCATGTCATGCATCATACTAGTTCAAATACTCAATCATGAAGTGGCATAAAGGCAGCACAAAACCAAACACAAAAGCAAAATAATTTGAAAGGTAAAACCAGAAAAGGAACAGGCAGAGCTTGTGCACACAGACACTATGAAAAATATACACCTAAATGCATACATGTTGGAGAGAAAAGAAAAAAAAAAATACGTGTGAGTGAAAAATAAGCTGCCCAAGGCAAGCAATTGAAATGATTTGCATCGTATTTTTGTGATCTAAACCGCATTGGAGTATACTTTTAAGAATTCAAGAACCATAGGAAATCTTATTATCTAAGCTTTCAAATTACGGCACGCTGTTTAAATCCACATCCAGAAATCACAATCAATCATTTTGAAGTGTCTAAAAGAGAAAACTCTACAATTGATGAAGCAGTCAGTCCATAAATGAAAAGAAAATTTAGTGGTCCACTTCTGTAAAAATATTTTCTTAGTGTGGTTTGCAACCATATGATCCTCACAGACTCCAGTGTTCAACCAGGTTCAATATTCAATTGCAAGTCGGAAAGATATTACCGCCGTAAAAAGATGGATGATATGACTCTTAAAATACAAGTATGAAATCCATAGCAGAATTCTCAAACATGGAATGAACTCAATAATTTCTGAGACTGAAAGCAAAATGCTCAATGGTTTCTGGAGAGAGAAAAGGAGAAAGAATAAAAGGCGACTCTCTATGTGCCCGCCTAGCAACCATTCAAAAAAATCTCAGGAAGGAGTAAGAACTCAGAAATAAAATAGTTCTTTAACATAAATTTGCAAATTGTGAAGGTCTTAAAAAGGTGGTGTTGGACGTTTACCATAGCTGAAACACAGCTTACCATTGCCATTTGTGTAATTGCAGAAGCAATGAATAGCAATATATTCAGATCTCACACCTGCCTGGAAACTAGACTCTGATTCTTCAATACACCCCAGTTAAGACAGAGTAACTATCAGATTATTACTGAACTTTAGCAAGGTGAATATCATAGATAATTCAGGCCATTAATCTTCTCTGCTTCCAATTGGCAAAAAATGCTAGGTGGCAAGTTAAGGCAAAAATTCAGACCAAGGTTAAAACCATTGTGATTTAATTGTTCATACATAATACCTGACCATATTAAAGAATGATTGCTCCTCTGACAAAAACTCCACAGCAAAAATTTTAAAACTTAAAAATCAAGTACACAAACAAGAATCAAGAAACAAATTCATCCGGCAAAAATTCTATAAGAAGAAGTTAAGAAAGCAAAATAAAGTTTCAAGAATAATTTATAGGAGAAGTAGCTTACTACCAAATTTCGATGCAAAGAAAAACCATCTTCGAGCAGAGGGGAACCATTTTGTTTCTCGCACAGCATAGCTGTTCTCTGGGCAGCTCTCTCATTAAGATCACAGATTAATTCTTCTCTCAAGGATGGGGTTGGGGCAGATTTATGCAGAATGCTTGATTCTCCAACGTAAATACCATCTTTCCTTTCTGGATCTTTACTGGGCGTGCCCTTTTCCTGAGCCAAAATTTGCTGATTTCTTTGTGCAGACATATAGCTGTTAAGAGTAAGATCCAGCCCTAAGTTGGCAGATACCTTATGTGCTAACTGAGCTTTTCCAATGTTAGGTCCAGCCTGCATAAACCCTATATCTTTTCTATTGATTGACCCTCCTCCAAACATGCTATTACTCTGAGGCATTAATGAAAACTGCCCATCTCCAATTTGAGGCATTTTATTTTTTGTTTTAGACAAACTAGATTTTCTTTCTGTATTCCGCGGAGACAGATGCCTTTCAAAACAGAATTGTGTTCCTCTGCCCAAGAATTCATCGTGTTTTTTGGGGAAACTGCTACCAGCAGCAGCACCAGATTTATTTGCATCTCCCATTTTGATCTGATTAATGTCGGGCATAACTTCTTCCCCAGACACTGGGGAAGAATAAGTCTGCTCATTATTCTTTTTGACCAGCGTAGGACTCCTAGCAATTCCATGTTTGCTCCACTGAGTCCTAATACCACTTTGTAAACCCACTCCTGCAGATGCATCCTCTTCTAATTCTGAATCGGAAATCTCAATTGTCGCTATAGGGGTGTCTGGATCTCCACAGAAGGCCCTGACTTTTTTGGCCAGATTATCTGGACAACTAACATCCAGGGGCTTCTGATCTCCATCTTGAGCTGCCCTTCTTTTCCTTTGAGGACCCTTAAAAACTCTTGAGACATTTTCTTGCAGAACCACCAGATCCATTGGAGCAGAAACTGAAGCTAACCCCACAGATGCAGTGACCAATGTTCTGGAAGAAGCACCTTCTGTAGTTGTGTGATCATTTTCAGCATTTTCTTTCTCACTCATCAAATCACTCAGCAGACGCATTTTTTGATGTGGTAAACCACTTGTATCATCAGGCTGCTGATCATGATGGTTAATTCCAGCCAAAAGCTCATCACCTTCGGACAATGCAACATCATGCCTTTCCAATTCAAGGGAAGGTCCTCTGATTGTATTACCATTGATGCTAACTTGCTTGGATATCTCGAAAGCTTTCCATTCAGTTCTCCGTTCATCATCTCCGGAATTCGCTTTCTTTGCTAGAGAAATTTCAGCAAAATTGTTACCTGTGTGTGCGGGATATTCAGAGGCAGGAACAACATCTGCATCATCCTGACTTCTGTCAACTAGTCCAATGTTATTCAATTTGAGAACAACTGCTTCGCAACCTGAGGTGTCATAATATTATATTTGTAATTACAGCAGAAAAAGATGTCGTGTCAAAAGGAAGATCTTTGGGCAGTTGCTGGGATATTCTGAGTTTATTGGTCAGTATACCTGTGATATCTGTGAGTCTATCTTGGCTTGGACATAAATTAAACTTTGTTACATCACATGCTGCACTGCCAGTGTCCTGATTAGCAACATCTTCAGCACAGTTCTCGTGGCCTGATAAAGGGGAGGGGGGCAAAACACAGACAAAAGATTGCGATAATTACACCCACACCTGATATATAGGAAATCAGATATACAGTACAGCACCGAGATTAGCAAAGTGAATACCAGCATTAGCCATGTGTCCTACTTCAGCAGTCTTTTGTTTTTTATAACTGCATGATGATAAATAGGTTTCATCTCCATTTAAATTAGCTGCACGATTAGCATCAGCTTTCCTCCCCTCAATTCTTCCCAACTGTGAAGCTAGCTGCAAATCTGAAGGCACCATTGCAGTATCAACATGGGATGGAATGTGCGAGCAAGTCCCACTTCTAGAAAAAAGTCCAATTTCCTCTGCAGCACTTGCAGAACCAATCTCCTGCAGGCAGTTTTGGCAGCGCCACCATCTGAATTTGGGGACATGTAAAGGAGGAAGCACGCTTAACTGCTCCTCTGACACATTAAGGGTACCATCTAATGCAAATGGTGAACAAATCCTCCAGTCTTTTATGCGCATTTCAGCAACATATCCACTGCAATCAAATTAGAGAAATATGTCAAAGAAAATCCATCAAAGAAACCACACGTCTGTCATTTATCACATAGAATAAAGGACTAATGCATGGCAAAATAGCTCCTGGCATACAGTGCCAGTGCCTATCTGATGTCACAAATAATTCTCATTAGTTGTTGCTCAATAAAGTTACCAATGTATTTAGTGATGAAGGCCCGCCCTTCCCTTAGAAGTTCATTGTATATACGAAATGCAATATCCACATGTTGCTTCATACCAATGTACATGTGTTTGTGTATAAGTTAGCGAATTATTCATATAAAGGAAAATGGAAATAGAAAAGTGCTCACATGCATCAGCTGTGTGGTCACTTCTAGACATTTAAAGAAACAGGTAGGAGGAAACGAAATAATACTCTTCAAGCAAAAGGAAGTATCAGTTCAGAAGGTATTGCAGCCATGTCAATCGCATAACAGTCATAGACACACATGCACATAGATATGAAATCACAAGGAGATAGATGAGCCCTAGATGCTAAAAAACTTTAATAGAATTCTTTAAGAGTGCAACCTAGCAAGATAAAAGGCTTACCGAATTGAAAAGGGCTGACACTGTTCTGCCTCATTCTTCTCCATCGCAACATTCAGGTGTACAGATATTGAATCGATATTTTTAACCACTGATCCCGAGGACTTGGTCACAGGAGTATTAGACTCGCTTTGCAGACGATTTTCTTCCACTGCTACAATACTCGTCTCCATGCTGAAAGAATTAACTAAAACCACAGCAAAAAGTGATAAATCTCTCATGCACATAAAATAACAAGCATATTGAGACATTAAATAGCTAGAAAGTACAATCACACAGTCGCGCGATGAGCATACAATGAATTATTCCTTTACTTTTTAAAAGGATTGTATAATTATATGCACCATATCTATACAACAAGAATTTAGAATTACATCATAAGCTTATGTTTCAAGTCCCAAACAGACATGCATGTAAAGGTTCATTTCCAAACACAAAAATGAAACTAAAACTCATCAATCCCAAACTAGTTACAGGTACATCACAAAATAAAACATCATTAGAAATTAAAACAACTGCAAGCAATACATAAATGTACAAAAAATTTACTGGATCATTTAGCAAAAGCCCTACTTTGACATAACAACAAAGATAAAGCTGTTCACAGTAACAATTTTCACAACCAGATGCCATAAATCAACAACCTAAGATAAAACAACTCAACAAGCTCCAAAATGAATCATTTAATAACATCAGTGATCAAACCAACTATTAGGGTTTCATTTTTCTAAAAATAAGAATTGACCATCCCACGTGTCAGAAAGAGTAAGGTTGTATTAAAGTTTCGAAAATTAAGCCAAAACCCACAAAGCACCATCAAACATACCTCTAAAAACTCCAAGTTAGATAGCACAATCATGCATGAAATTCCACATAAATAAATCTAGGGTTTGTCGGATCGTGAACCAATTCACTGTATCTAACCCATATGCCACAAATTTTAAGTCAAAAAAAAACAATCAAAATTAATCAGAAGATACCACAAAATGATATACTATCACCTCAAATCAAACCCAAAAAGGAATAAATTTAAAGCCCACAAATTCAACGTACAAATAACATTAAAATAGCTAAATACATGGAAAAATGAGGTCAAGTCAGCTACGACTTGTACCCATCAACACGAACCCAACCATCTATACATCGGAAACCCAACAAACAGTAGTCAGAAATGCACAAACAAACTTTAGCTTCAATGAAAAATCAGATCAAATAGCCCCTCCCCAACCCAACTTGGATTCTTCACGGCTCATACAAAAAATGTTATCATTTGATAGAAAAGTTGAAGACAAAGCTACAGAAGTGAACTTTACCCGTAGATTCGAAGCTGGCTGAGCAGAATTCCAGTGCGCAATGGTGAGAAACCCTAGCGTTTTAGGTTTGGAATTCTAGAGAGAGAGAGAGAGAGAGAGAGAGAGAGAGAGAGAGACTGTGAGTTGTGTATGTTTGTCTGAAAGAGTATCTTATCTTTTGTCCTAGAAACAAGGCATCGTTGTATTGTCGACACATACATATACATACAGTTACATTGTAGAGAGAGAAAGATAGAGAGAGAAAGTAATTGACGAATGAGAGAGGGCCAGCAAGACAAGCTTGTGCGGTTCTTATCACCATCCACTATGCCCTTTGGAAACCCTAGTCAAATGTTATACCCACGCCATCTTTTCACTCACCGATGGAGGGGTTTAGTAAGAAGCCGAGGCACTAAGGATAAGAATGGTTGGAACGTGGGGAGCACGGCCTAAATAGAGCGTGATATGAGAAATTGTAAGAACCCTAAATTTGTGTGGTAATAAATAAGTAGGGTAAGTTAAAAATAAAGTGGGAATAACCCTAAACATCAGGCTGATAGCCTGATCCAGTGGTTGAGTAACTTACCCCCACCACCCCCTCACCCCACCCCCTCACCCCCCGAAAAAAAAAAAAAAGAATAAAAAAATAAAGTGGGTCGGTAGGAATCATATACATTAGGGTTTTGTCAAGGTTGTGCAGTAGCCAATCAAAGACAAGCCACATCAACAATGAAAGATTAGGCCAAATGCACAAAACTTTTAGGGTAATACTATACTAACTGAAAAATGAGAGAAAAAACATAAATCAAATGATGTGGCTTATTTTTGGTCCTATTTTTAATTATTTAAAATTTATTTTTTATTCAGTAAGTCAATGTTACATTATTTAATCTCTATTTTTAGTTAGAAAGTTAAAAAATGATTTTTAGTGATAATTTATAAGTTATAATAGCATGTATAGACCGCAATCTAATAATTCAACTGTACGTGTGATGAGATTCCATCAATAGTCACATCTACATTCGAACAGGTTGAGAGATTATGGACAAATAACAAAAAGAAGACTTTCATAGTGAAAGTAAAAAATCTGAGTAGTCCATAAATATTATAGTATTGCTTTTCACATTTAAAAGTATAAGTGAGGGGCTTACCCTGCCAAAAGAAAGAAGCCATAAGCATACAAATATAATTATAATTCCAGACTTGTAGTAGCTATATATTCACAGGTGATGACTTTTGAATTTTAATGTCATAAGTCTATCCCTTACTATTTGCACAATGTTTCTTAGCAAGGATCCACTATATTAGAGAGTTCTCATAAGACAACTAGCATAGGAGATTATGAATTGATTGATAAAAATACGTTTGTGACTTTGATGTTTCAAAATGGGAGATTACGAGAAGCATCGCATCAGTACCCCAACAAAAAAGAAAAAAAAAATAAGACCTTTGCTGTGAAAGTTAAAATTGGATAATTCATAATTGATTTGTTGCTTTCACATGTAGAAGTCTTTTTATCATTTTGCATAACCATTACATGTATAATTGGTAGTCTGTAATTGCAGTATTACAAATGATGAGATTACAGACATCACCACATCCATCGCTAGCCAAACAATGCGATAATTCAACATTTTTTTAAAAAAAAAGAAAGATTATTCTCAAAGTTAGAAAATGATTACTCATAATTATATTGTTTTTACATTTCACTTTTAATATAACGACGACATTATAGGTAATATATAACAGTGATTTTGCCAATATAAAATGATGAGATTATAAAAATTGTCACGTCGCTGCCACAACAATGCAAGAAATTATGCAAAAAAGAAAGAATACCAACCTCTATAGTGAAAGTTAAAAATGGAGAATTCATAATTATTTGGTCATGGTCACATTTAATAGTCAATGCATACAATCGTTACATGTATATCTGTGCTTAATTTCGTGGTTACAAATGATGAGCCTACTGAAATCATTTTTTTATCACTTTAACGATGTAAGAACTAAAGGAAAAAAAAATAACAAAAACTTTCATGGTGAATTTTAATATGGAATATTCATAATTGTTTTGTCACTTGCACATTTAAAACTTGTTATTCATAATTGTTATATGCATTAGCGACAATATGTGACTTTGATCTTATAAATGACGAGATTAACAATAAAAGAAGTTATTTATTTAAAAGAAAGCTTTATAGAGAAGGTTTAAAAAGTATTATTCATAGTTATTTTGTTGTTTTCACATTTAAAAGTCATTATGCGTAACCATTAGAAGTCCACCAGAAGTGGAATTGTACCTATAACTTTGAAAGGAAAGCAAACACAAGTTACAACACTATGACAATTACATAGCACAACTTTCCATTTCGTATAAATTGTACATACAAGTATCTACTACTTGCACATGGCTTGTAGATACGTATTGTGTTAAACCCGGTATTAATTGTGTTGCTTTTATTGTATTTATTGATCAAATAACGACACAATCTCATGTATATACCTTTTAGTTGTTCAAATAAAAAATAATGGGATTCAAACTTAGCATTCGATTATTAGTCTTATACTTAGTGAAGAGCTATTTCCACAGCAAAAGTGGGTACTTGTTAGAGTCTGCAAATGCACGAATGATAATAGAGAAGAAATTCACACCCTGTCTCCTAAGTTGTTAGGAGTGCAATAATTTATGAACTTTTTGAATATTGGCTCTGGATGTGCTAAAAGTAACAAAAATCTGACGTAAATCTCAAGAAATTCTTGGATCTAGTGGCAGAATGTAAGCTCACTTCTCTCATGCAACAAGGCCCCTCTCTCAATTTATGTTATCATCGACCAATGAAGAAATGCCAACATGGGGAGGTGCTCCCTTGGCCCATTGCCTTTGTCTTCCCCCAAAATAGCTCAAAAATGCTGAGGATTGTTGCCACCAGGAAGAATATTACGACATCAAAAGTTACATTTTGGGTACCGTGAAAAAAATTACGACTTACTCAAATCAATTCATAATTTAATATGACCGATCATGATTGACCCCGACAAGAATTGATCCAAAATTTTTTGAATATTATTGGGTTGTAACATTAACCCAATTGAATCAGTTTTAACTTTAACGTAGCTGAGTCGTAACTTTCTTAATTTTGCTTAGTACAATACCAAATTTGATGCCTTAGTTGTTCCCACATATTAATATTAAACAAGTAAACAAAATAAGCCATCTTTTTCTCTCCTTTTACTGCATATCAAACAAGCTTTTTAGGGGCTGATGTGAAATGCACAGACAATGCTATGCTTTACTAGCATTTACGATGTTTAGACTTTAGATTTCTCACTATGAACAAAAGGTAACCGATGCTGTTTTGTGTTGCTTTCTAGCAAAGATTCGTGAAAGCTTAAGCAGTGAGACTATGCTGGAGCCAATAAGGACAACCAAATTTGCAGCATCTCTAGCTTTTTCAAAACTCATCGGCGTAATATATAGGGAAGATATGTTCAGGCCCGACAATTCTAGATAGACACATACGAAATTAATACCCAATTAGTGAGTTTGAGTTTAAATTTAGTAGGTTTGATTGATAAACGGTAGCATGAACCTGATGAAATACGACACTAACCCGGTTAAATATGGATCATAACGACACAATCCCGAATATACGTGATTATAAATGAATTGAGTATGAGTTTAATAAATTTTAACAGGACATCAATTTCACTTTGAGAAACACGAAACTACTTACACTGTTTAAAACATGGCACGCCATGTCTTACTGATAACCCTGAATTTCTATAATACTGGAGTGGGTATCTACCTAGAGTGATTGAAAAAAAAATAAAGTACATAAGAATAAGTTACAACTCAAATAGGATAAAGTTAAGAATCCAAG